GGCAATGCCATGTACTTAATTAGAGGGATGATTACGCTAGCCCTCAGCTCATTAATTATGGGACACTCTATAATCATGTGTTCAGTGGTATAAACTTTATCATATGAGCACCTGCATTTTCTCTTGGCATATGGTACTTTATTATACCAAACCTCCAGACCTGCTGAAAGAAGGGCATTCATTCGGGCCAGAGTAAAAGCACTTCTATGTGCAAAAGAATAGATTCTTTTGAATTATGGTGCTGGAGAAGACTCTTGAGAGTCCCTTGGACAGCAAGGAGATCAAATCAGTCAATCCTAAAAGAAATCAGCCCTAACTGTTCCCAGGAAGGCCAGAAACTGAAGCTGAAGCTGAAATACTTTGGCCACCAAATGAGAAGGGAGCACTCACTGGAGAAGACCCAGTGAGTGCACTAGAAGTCCTCCCACTGTTGCCCCACCAAACACCAAGTATACAGTGCATCACTTGTCTCAGCCTGAGAGGTCCTATCTATACCTTGTGGCTAATAGCCACTGATGGACCTCTGTTCCATATGTTTATCTAATTCCCTTTTGAAGCCGTCCATGCTTGTTGCCTCCACCACCTCCTGTGGCAGTAGATTCCACATGGTAATCACTCTTTGGGTGAAGAAGTACTTCCTTTTATCCATTCTAACCTGACTGCTCAGCAATTTCATTGAGTGCCCACGTGTTCTTGTACTGTGAGAAAGGGAGAAAAGTACTTCTTTCTCTACCTGCTCTATCCCATGCATAATCTCATAAACCTCAATTATGTCACCCCTCAGTCGTCATTTCTCCAAGGTAAAGAGCCCCAAGCGCTTTAACCTTTCCTCATAGGGGAAGTGTTCCAACCCTTTTATCATTCTAGTTGCCCTTTTCTGCATTTTTTCCAATGCTATAATATCCTTTTTGAAGTGTGGTGATCAGAACTGTACACAGTACTCCAAATGAGGTTACACCATTGATTTATATAGGGGCATGATGATACTGGCTGATTTGTTTTCAGTTCCCTTCCTAATAATCCCCAGCATAGTGTTGAAATTTTTATGGCAGTGGCACACTGTCTCGACATTTTCATTGAGTTATCTACTATGACTCTCTTGGTCAGTCTCTGCCAGTTTGGATCTCATCAATGTTTAAGTATAGTTAGGATTTTTGGCTCCAATGTGCATCATTTTGCACTTGGCCACATTGAACCCCATTTGCTACACTGATGCCCACTCGTCCACGGTGACGGCAGCCATGAAATTAAAAGACACCTGCTCGTTTGGAGGAAAGCTATGGTAAACCTAGACAGCATAATGAAAAGTAGAGACATCACCCTGCCAACAAAAGTCCATATGGTCAAAGCAATGGTATTTTCAGTAGTACTGTAAGGCTACAAGAGTTGGACTATAAGGAAGGCCGAGCACTGAAGAATAGATTCTTTTGAATTATGGTGCTGGAGAAGAATCTTGAGAGTTCCTTGGACTGCGAGGAGATTGAATCAGTCCATCCTAAAAGAAATCAACCCTGACTGTTCCCTGGGAGGCCAGAGACTGAAGCTGAAGTTCAAATACTTTGACCACCCAATGAGAAGGGAGCACTCACTGGAGAAGACCCTGATGCTGGGAAAGATTGAAGGTCAAAGAAGACAGGGACGGCAAAGGATGAGATGGTTAGACAGTGTCATAGATGCAATGAACATGAAATTGAGCAAACTTCAGAGGACGGCGGAAGACAGGAGGGCCTGGCATGATCTTGTCCATGGGGTCGCAAAGAGTCAGACTCGACTGTGCGACAGAACAACAACTACAAAAGATGTTAGGGGTCAACACAACGAACATGGAAGACAGGAGGGTCTGGCATGATGTGGTCCATGGGGTCGCAAAGAGTCAGACTCGACAGTGCGACTGAACAACAACAAGAAGAAGAACAACAATGCCCATCCTCAACAGATCCCTTTGGAGTGCCTCACAGTCCTCCCTGGTTCTCACCACCCTGAACAACATCGGTGCGTGTGACCCTGCATCAGCTCCACAATTCCAATGCAGGCCCTCCTCTCTTCCACACTGCTTCCACATAGCTGGCTTCCTCCTCTCATTGACAAATCTCATTGGACTTCAATCCCAGGATAGGCTTGCGAAGTCCCCCCGGGGGGCGGGAAAACCCCCGCCCCAGAGGCCCTTTCCCTGCCATCGCCGGATCGGGCCCCGGGGGGAGCTCCACCCTGACATGCACATCACCAGGAAGTGATGCGATCACATGGGGCACACTGGGGGCGGGGCCATGACCATCTGAGGGAAAACTCAACCCGGGAGCAACCCGGGAGTCCCCCGCTCCGAATCGAGGTAATACTTGGCAACCCTATCCCAGGACCATGTATGCTTCCCTTCCCTGTTCTCCTTCCTCCCAGCTTTCCACATTCCAATTACAAATATTTGCTTTGGATAGGATGTACTACAAGTTAACGATTTGTAGAACATTGATTATAGTGTGTGCGCGGACATGTTTCACGCTCTGTATTTAATTTTCCAATTGTCCTTGCTATTATTTTTTTTATCTTCATCAATCCTGAACATTAAGCCTAGATTTGTTCCTTCCAGCAATCTGCACAACTTATTGAACCATTAGATAAAATCAGTATACCTCTGGCAAGAGGATCCCAATAATATGTTGTGCATAGGCTTCCAACCCCTTCGGACAGCACTGGCTCTTCAGCTTGGAAACAGAGATGTTCACCGCCCCTTAGAGTCAGATTCGACTAGCTTTTGAGCAAGGGAAACCTTTACCTTTACCTTTTTCCTGAGTGTTAGGATGTGTAGAACATCCATCATAGTACGTGCACATGAGTTTCAAATGCTGTGTTTAATTTTCTAATTGTTCTTGCTATTATTATTTATCGTAATAATTCCTGAACTTGAACCCATATAAAGAAAATATATACAAAATATTTTATAGATGGTATATTACCCCAGATAAACTTTCAAAGATTTACTCTAATGTATCAAATGTATGTTGGAAATGTCACAAGAATAATGGATCCTTTTTATCATATGTGGTAGTTATGTGATGAAGTGAAAAAAATATTGGTTTTGGATTCATGACATTTTACAAAAAAATGTTCCCTTTGTACCAAAATTATTTTTGTTGAATGTTTTACCAGAAACTTGTAAAAAACGAAATTATGATCTTATAATTCATGTAACAACAGCGGCAAGAATACTCTATGCCAAATACTGGAGAAGAAAGGAAGTACCGTCGAGAGAAGAACTTGTAAATAAAATGCTGGAAAGTGCTGAAATGGATAAACTAACTTTAATTTTGAAACGACATCCAGAGACAAGCTTTGAGAGCCCTTGGTCAAGATTTTACAAATGGATTGAAGAATACAATAAATAAATCACGTAGTCATACAATCTATTTTAAGGATATAAAAAACTTTACTTCTACACATTTGCAAGAGAACTTTACAATGATACAAGGTGGACTATATAATAATATTGTTTGTTAAGGTATGAAATCTGTAAACAAGAAATGGATACCCTCATTTTATGTTATGTTTGTCTTTTAAAAATAAAAAAACCTGTTAAACAAGTAACCAATGTTTGTTTCTTCCAGCAATGTGCACAACATAATGAGGCATTCAATAAAATCTTGAACCTTGACATATCGCAGGCAAAGAGGGTTCCAACATTAGCCCTAAGCCTAGGATCGCATGGGCATCAGACCCCTCAAAACGACGATGCTCCTTTGGTCAATGTATGGACACCTGGGAGCCATTTTGGTAACTGGAACCCCACCAAAGAATGTTGACCCAGGACCAATGCTCCCTCTAAGCTGTGGAGTCCTGTGAGCAAAAATTCTACTTTGTGAGCTACTGGCATTTTATTTATCTTTGAATTTATATCCCACCCTACCCCGAAGGCTCAGGGCAGTTAACAAGAGGCACAAAGTGCCAAGGTTAAAACAAACAAATAAATACAACATAACAATTAAACAATAAAATACAATAACAAAATATCAGTGCTCCATTTGTCACAAGATGGGGTAGATCTTAATCCCAACGGTAACATTCCCATAGTCCGTCATCCCTTCTCCTGCCAGGTCACCTCGCACCCCGAAGGAACCAGATAGTGGTGGTGATGGTGCGATGGTGCATAGATAGCAATGATGGAGTAGTGGTGGCGGCGGCTCCTACTCAAAAGCCTGGTGGAAGAGCTCCGTCTTGCAGGCCCTGCGGAACTGAGAAAGATCCCGCAGGGCCCGGATCTCCTCCAGTAGCGCCTTCCACCAGGTAGGAGCCGCCACCAAGAATGCCCTGGCTCGGGTCAATGCAAATTTAATGTCCCTGGGGCCTGGAATTTCCAGGAGATTATGACTCCCCGACCATAGTGCCCTTGGGGGAACATATGGGGAAAGGCGTTCCCTTAGGTAGGCTGGACCCTGGCCATAAAGGGCATTAAGGTTTTGAGCGAGCGATTTCACTGCTGCATAAATTAGTTTGCTCTGGAGCCATCCGGAGGCTCAAAAACTATGAGCTAGCTCACACTAACTCAGCTTAGAGGGAACACTGCCCAGGACCTGAGTGTATTCTGCAGCAGCCAGAAGGGACGCGACAGCTAGAATTTGACTCGACTTGGGGGTTGAAGTGGGCAATGGACCCCAGATGAGGGCCAAAGAATAACATCAAAACATTAAAATTTGTTCATTCCAGGCAAAGCGGGTGATCTGCTTCCACTGTAGTCAGCCAGGAGATGCCGCAGGTTCATTCCTGATCTAACTCAAGGAAGCTTTTATAGGACTTCTGACCAAGTCCTGTAATATTGAATGGTGAAGGAAGTCTACAGGGTAATATACACTCACGCTGTAATATGAGGTTACCTTAAAAATGCCACAGGGGGCATTAAAAAAACGTAATAAATAAATACTCAGAAATGAGTCACACATTTAATGCTCCCAAGAGATCGTATAAAAACTCCGGACAGCTGCAACCGTCTCCACCACTCTGCTCGGATCTCTTGCTCGCTTGTCTGCTGCTATTGCTTCTCGGTGAGTCCGTTATAACTTCTTCTTGTTGTATATGAATTTTTTATTAATTAATTAATTTATTTATTTCAATTTCTTAACTGCCCTTCCCCACTTAAGTGGGGCTCAGGGCAATTTGCAACAACATAAAATCTAATGCATTTTTTTAAAAAAACAGTTAAAACTACAAAATTCAAGATTAAAACATTCAGCATAAATATTTAAGCAGATGGCCTATTTAGCATTCAGGTTTTCCTGGGGGGGGAGGGGAGGGTGCCGGGCAGATGTAAAGGAACCATCGCTGGTCTCGACCAAAGGCCTGGCAGAACATCTCTACGTTGCACGCCCTGCGGAACTTTAATAGATCAGACAGGGGCACGGATGTCATTGGGAGGAGAGTTCCACCAGGCTGGGTCCAATGCTGAGAAAGCTCTGTTGGAGGCCAGCCGGATATCTTTGGGACCGGGAATCACCAGGAGGTTCTTATCTGCTGATCTCAGTGCCCTTCGGGGGACATATCGGGAGAGGCGGTCCCGAAGACACGGTAAGAAAGCAAGACAGAAAGTCAGGAAGCAAGTCAGGAAAGCTCCTCCTATGGAATAGGTTTCGATGCAATTGGTGGGATTTCTCACGCATGAATGTTCACACCTAAACAAAGGAAGGGAGTAGAAGGCACCTGGACAGATTAACATAAGAACATAAGAACATAAGAGATGCCAATGTTTTATGTTCTTATGTTCTTATGTTAATCTCTCCAGGCGCCTTCTACTCCCTTCCTTTGTTTAGGTGCGAACATTCATGCGTGAGAACATTCATGCGTGAGAAATACCACCAATTGCATCGAAACCTTTTCCATAGGAGGAACTTTCCTGACTTCCTGACTTCCTGAGGCACAGGGATAGAAGGAGGAAGTGGAGGTGGCTCTCTGGGAAATAGAGGGGTGGTGAGGGAGGAATGCATTGAGTGCTGCCTCTGCAGAGCCTGAGACACCTGCATGGATGAGATGAATGGTGGAAGTCCCACACATTCGATTTTCAGGTCATATTAGGGCAGGCCCATAGCCAGGATTTTTTTAAAAAAATTGGGGGGCCTTTAAATCAATCAGGGGGCACCCTGCACACCCCCCAAGTGAGCACCACAGATAAAATTTAAAAATGGAAGTCGGGAAGCCTGAGCTGGATAGGAAATTGGGGGGGCCTTGGTGGTAAGCCAGGGGGCCAGGCCCCGGGATGCCCCACTATAGCTGTGGGACTGTGTTAGGGTTGTCAACCTCCAGGTGCATCCTGGCAATCTCCTAGACTTGCAGTCAATCTCCAGACAAGTAGAGATCATTGCTCCTGGATTAAACGGGGCATTTGGAGTGTGGACGCTATGGCATTATAGTCCCCGGGACAATGGTTATATTTGCGACTTTGATCGGTTTGTCCTTCAGACGCTCACATTGACATCTCCCATCCTTTGCAAATGTAATTCCAGGCTCACCTCCACCTTCCCAAGATGTCCTGCTGCCCTCCATCCTGTGCAACCCCATCTTGCCCCAAGCCTTGCTGCCCCAGTCCATGCCCCTCCCCATGTAGCTACCCTGTCGGCGGTCTGGGCAAAATGAGCTGCTGCCCACCTTCAAGCTGCAAGCCTTCATGTTGTGGAACCTCGACCTCAGCACGTAGCCTGGGCATCGCCGAGGGGGCCAGCGTCTCCTGCATCAACCAGATCCCGCCGTCGGAAATTGTGATACAGCCACCTCCTTGCACGGTCGTGATCCCAGGGCCAGTGCTGGCTGCCTCCTGTGAGCCCCTTCGCGTGGGAGGCCTCACCGCCTGTGGCGGCTGCCCCCCCTGTGGCCGCATCTGCAGTTCTTCCTGTTAAGCTGGAAACGGAGCTTCACGAGGATGGGAATGAAATGGCTTCCTGAAAAGTACGGAACGGATTGACGGCTGACGGCTTCACGGACTCGGGTGTCAGAACGAATGACACGTCCTCGTCCAGATCAGGATCAGTAGGTGCTGTGCAAAGTTTCATAAGCCCATGGCCCCAACCGTGTGGCAGTTACTTTGTATCCGCTCTACTCGCACCTTAAAAGATTTTTTTCTTTAATCTTCACTTGATTTTCCTGAACCCATCTTGATTTTCGGATCAGAAGGGTATGAGCATCTTCCCTCTGTGGGCCTCTGAATGTTTCAGGGGCCCACAAAGGTCTTCCTGCCAAAACAGCAACCTGCCTTTCTCTCTGTATTCATTTGCTTTGTAGTGGGGAAGGCCACTGTTGGCTGAGTAAAGAAGGCATGTTTGTCATCCCTGAAACTGCTTCACTGGAAACGATGTCGCTCCTCTCCTTTATTCCAATAAAACTTTAGCCTGCATCAAAATTCCTTTTGTGGATTCAGTTCCTTCCGATTTCTAAGGACTTCAAAAGTTGGGAGGGGTCATGGCTCAGTGGTAGAGCACCTAGGAGTAGACCCAGATCCAATATTGGGCTCCTCGTTCCCAGGCAGTGGATGTTGAGAAGGTACATGACACCACGATGAGCAGATGCCATTTGGAGCCATCCACGTTGAGCTCAATGACTCAGTAGAAGGCAACGTTGCCCCTTTATACAGCTTGCTGGACCAGAGCTGAGATCCTTCTAGTTCTCTGGCCAGCCAGGCACTTTTAGGGAATGTCCCAAAGAGACCACAAAGGTACTTGTCCCCTACAGATGCCTGTCCTGTACACCAGTAGTTGGTCATTTGAGTCTTCTTGCTCCTGAACATGAACGTATTATGCCTCTAATTACAAATGACCTCTCCACTATTCCTCTTTAAACTCACCTACTCTAGTTTATGGCATTAAAAATATTTTTATAGTCCCACCCAGGGGTCATTTCGTAGAAAAAGAGGTGCAGGAGCTCATTAGCATAACTCATTAGCATAATTTATTTGCACATGCCACACACCCTGACATCACCAGAAGTCTGTCAGAAGGCAACACCCACTGCTCAGGCTCCACTGAACTCTTGGATTCTAGCTATTGGGGGGAGGGACCTTCAGATCTGTCCTCGCAGAGGAGGGAGAGCTGTTACCTGAATAAAACTTGGTCTTAAAGGTGCCACTGGACTGTTTTGGACTGGGGGGGACGGGGGGGCTCTGCAGCTTACCTGGCTGCTTTTTGCTCTGACTGAGGGCTGCTGGGAGAAGACGGTGGGGCTTGTGGAATGTGCCCACCCCCTGGGCTCTTTACTGCCAGACCTCTGCTCCTGTGCGCTCCTGCAGGAAATGACCCCTGGTCCCACCTCCTTTTCAAAAGTATTTTTTTAAGTTAGAGTCCCAATGGCACCTTAAAGGTGCCATTGGGACTCTAACTTTCTTCTATTGCTTCAGACCAACACGGCTACCCACCTGGATCTAATTTTTAAAACAGACTTCCAACGAAACTTTACCAAAGACAAAAATACAGACTGAAAAATGAGGTAAAAGAATGAGCAGCCATAAAAATTAAGCTATGGGAGCAGCAACATTTTTTCTGCATTTTTATTCATTTACTTACATTATTTATACTCCTCTTCTTTCACCGAGACTCAGGGTAGATGACGGAGTGGAAATCAATGCAGTCAGTATCAAGTTACAGAATAGGGTTGCCAGGTCTGCCTCAGGGAATATCTGGGGTCTTTGGGGATGGAGCCAGGAGACTTTGGGGGTGGAGCCAAAAGGCAGGATATGGCATCACTTTTGTCATGTCACATCCTGTTATGTCACTTCCTGGCCAAAGATCAACTGATGCCACTTCCCACATTCCACCCCTTCCAATGATGCCCCTTCCAGAACACTGTACCAACCCCCCACCACTTCCTGTGATGTCACTTTGAGGGCACTGCCCCAAACCTGCCTCTTCCTCTGAAGTAACTTCCTTCTTTCAAAATTCAAATTTAAAAAGACTGCCATGTATCACTTCACCTCCTACCTTCCCCCCGCTGAAACTAGCCAAAAATTGCTGTCATCATTTGCACTCATGCATCAAACATAGCCACATGATATACAGTAAGAAACTTTATGCTTTGTGTTGAAATTATGGCTGGAAACAAAGGGTGCAATTGTTTGGTTTTTTTAAAAAAAGAAGCAGAAAATATCTCTGGTGCATCTCAGTCAACAAACTGCTATATCCATTACATATTTTCATGCTTTCTGGGTTGTGGTGGAATCCTATACTGTTCAGTTGTCATATGGTAAGAAGACATAAGAAAGTGGCTCCTGTACTGTTAAGATATGACATAAGCATAAGGTAAAGGTAAAAGTTCCCTTGCTCGAAAGCCAGTTGAATCCGACTCTAGGGTAGCGGTGCTCATTTCCGTTTCAAAGCCGAAGAGCCAGCGCTGTCCAAAGACATTTCCGTGGTCATGTGGCTGGCATGACTAAACACCAAGGTGCACGGAACGCTGTTACCTTCCCACTGACATGGTACCTATTTATCTACTTGCAATTTCTTGCTTTCGAACTGCTAGGTTGGCAGGAGCTGGAACTAGAGATGGAAGCTCACTCAGTCATGCGGAGCACTCGGGTCTCGAACTGCTGAACTACCAACCTTCCAGAGCCTGCAGTTCAGGCTTAGTTCAGATCCAAAATCAGGGTTAACTTATAAAAACAGGGTTTGGCTTACAGATGGTCACCCAATGGTAGTTTCATCTTTGCTCTGGCCAGGCATCTCTATATTCAGGGATGAGTAAAAGCAGTGCTAAGAAACCAGCCAGGGTTCAGGCAGCATGGCTTCATTCATACATTGCACTAAACCATAGCTAGCACTAACTTTGGTTTAGTCATCCGATTTCAAAGTATGGTTTTGTAGGACAAGGGATCAAGTGGTTTTGATTTCTGAATGTGATTTTTAATATTTTCTTCGAAATATATATTGACAGTTGTCAATGTGCCTTCATAAGAGTTTAATTATAGTATATTCAGAAGAAAGTTATAGTAGAACGTGTATATTTTATAATTGTATTTTCCTGTATAAGAAAGTTATTTTAAGCAAAAGTATTATTAGAGGCCTTTGTAGATGTAATTGGAATGCAACAGAATGGAATGTGTATCTGGTGGTTGCAAGGACACCAAGCAGAGGAAGCTATGCAACAAAAGGGCTCTAAGTGTCTTCAAAACAATATCTCCTTTTGCAAGAGTAGAGCACCTGGCCCTGGAAAGCCTGACAAAATCCAGTTCTATGTGAATCATTGTACCTTATCAGAAGAACTCCCCAGCTCAGGAAGGAGGTAAATAAAGTCTGGGTGATGCTAAGAGAGAGGAACCTGCTGTTCTTTATTATTTCGCACTGTCCTGAGAACAGATAAGCAAATGCAATCACTGACACTTTTGACAAGCATAGTAGAACACCAATAGAGATACGTTAAGTCAAATGACACTTTAATGATGTTACCTGTCTGGTACTAATTAGGAATTTCTTAATGTATAAACTATAGTGATCTCATTTGGGGTATAAGACCTTCTGCCCTTCCTGGTTATGGCAGAATACAGCTTGGCATTGCTGGGTGCTAAGGTATCCAGCCCTGTATTTCCTGTTTCTTGCAATAAACAGATAATCATCTAATTCACTGGACTCCAACTGTGTATTCCATATTTGACCCTAGGGGGCACACAGGGGTACAGATTTGTGCTACAGTTTCAGTTCCTGGTTTGAAGGACCCTGATTAACCAGTAGAGTGGCCTGCATTCAATTAGGCACACTAATCAAAGTTTAATTAAATCATGGTCTCATGTTATGTTTGAATGCAGCCACAGTAATTGTGAAGGACATTGCAAAATACTCCTAAATGTTGGAATCTACCAGAAAGCATCTTCTGCATGAGCCCAGTAGGAATGAAGCAGATAGGTACGGAGGAATTTTTGTGCATCTCCGGTCCCCTCTGAAGTGATTTGCTCAGGATAATATCCTAGTGGATTGTACCAAGTCTGTACCACAAAAGTAGGCTAGCACACTTGGACTGATTTCACACAAGAGCTGCACCGTAATCACACCTCCCTTTGCCCCGCTTCTATTGGTCAATTTCCCATTCTAAGCCACGTGGCCACATTTTGACCCGTGGATTCACCCGAGTTTCCCTGCGGTTTCGTGATCCTCAAAAAACGGGAAAATTGGGTGAAGCCGTGGGTCAAAACGTGTCCATGCAGTTTGAGTGGGAAATTGAACAATAGAAGCGGGACAAAGGGAGTTGCGACCGCGATGCAGCTCTTGTGTGAAATTGGTCTGAGTGTCTGTCCTACAGCTTTGGAATTCACCTCCTCTACAGTATCACCAAAGTTTGTGCCTTAACATTTTCCAGAAGTGCTTTAAATCCTTACTTGGGATGGCTATTAATGGCTGACTTCTATATAGTATTGTAACATTCTAAATGGCTGTTTTATTTCATAGACTGATTTTAAACCAGCACAAAGTCCTCTGGAGGGGGTTTATTAAAGATTGCATTTAAAAATCTTTAATTAAAAACGTCAAAATACTATAGAGATAGAATGAATGATTGTAGTTTACATAAAGAGTCACAATTCATCTTGGTGTGGGCCTGGTGAAAAATATATGTTCTGGGTCAGAAACAGAAAAAGAAATAGAGCTATTACCCTGTTGAGCCCCTCCATAAGGGTATTTGGCACTCCTCCCGTCGCCACTGCGCTACCAGGATCTCAGGCTCTCCCTGCCCCTCCCTTCTTTGGCCTGATCCTTGGTTGCTAGGCTGCGACCTCCCCGGGTCCTCAAAGGGGGAAGGGTCCACCAGGAAGATGGAGCAGAAGCCTCAGATGTGGGGGTCAGCGAGGGGGGTTCACATCATCCGAGCCTCTCACCCCTTTGGTCCTCTCAACACTAACCCTCTCTATCTCCTGCCCCAGACCTCCAGCCTCCTCTTTGGCTGCCTCCGCCTTCTCTTTTATCCCCTTCCCCTTCCCAGTACTGCCCCCTTCTCTGGCCTTGCCCCCTTTAAGAGTGCCGATGCTGGGTTGGCTGCAGCTGACTCCACCCCTCCTCTGTGGCCTGCACACAGCCTCCATCCTCTCACCCTGGTAGCTGCTGGGGTGCTTGAGCCAGCAACTGGACCACAGTATTGTCCCCTCTCCGGGGCTGTCAATCCTTCCCCAGCTCCCAGGCCTCTTCTTTGGGGCTGGGGCAGGCATGGTGCAGTTTCGACTGGGTGTGTCCTGGTGCTGCACTGCCGTGTAGCTGGTCTCCCTGTTCATCCCGTGGGCTCTGTCACCAGTCCTCCGTGTCATCCCCAGCCGCTTCCTCACCATTCCTG